TGCGAGGGCAGGCCGAGAGCTATGCCTATGGAATGCCCCTTACTGTGCAGAAAGACTATGATCAACTTAAAGATAAGATGAACCAAAGATTCGGCCATTCTGCAATGAAGGAGAGGTATATTGCAGACGCCAAATTGAGAAAAAGACGACCGGGCGAGTCCCTGCGAGATTTAGGACAGGCCATCGAAGATTTGTACCGAAGGGCCTATCCAGGAAATCCAGATTTAGTTGAAGAAAATGCTATACAGTCCTTCTTAGATAAGTGTGGACAATCGGAGGATTTTCGACTCGCAGTGAAACGGACAAGACCTAGGACACTTCAAGAAGCAGTTCTTAATGCAATGCAAGAAGAGTGCTTGCGGATTGGGGAAAAAGAATTGCCAAAGGAGACAAAATCAGGCTATATGCCTGTGTATGAGATTGAAGATGGGGAATGGAATGATGAAATAGCAGCTGCGGATACTGCCAAACCTCCAAGCGCGGGTGGCGGATTCAACAGTATCTATAAAAACATAAGAACCCCGAGTACATGTACCAGTGCAGGACCAGGGAGGAGGGGACGCCCTTACAACCCACGGTACCAGATAGAAAGAGGAATATTTCAACCAAGAGACAGTTCTCGAGACCATAATTGTGTTGAAAAGAGAACTGTAAGGAATTATATTAACTAAGATGACTGATGCCGCAAGTCAGGTGTCAGTCAACTTTATACGGCCTAAAACCTAAGGAAGAAAATCCTAAATCAGGAAAAATGGAAGAGAAAATGTTGAAAATAAGCCAGGGAAAACCAAATGTGATGCCACCAGTGTGATAAACTTTTGATCTAATCTAGTGACATTTTTATTTGAAATAATTTTGTTGTTTTACTTTGTGTCTTTTTATTGATTGTTTGGCTTTTGTGTATTGGGCATTTTTTTATTTGCGTAATGTGACTACATATAACTCATGTTCATGTTTTAAAAATTTATGACAGTGGAAGTCATGTTTCAAAAGGAGGGACCAATGTAATGTTTTTGTTTTATATGAAAATATGTTATTGTTATAAGTAAAACTGAGATAAGAATTTTGTTTATCTGATAAGTCCTAACCATGGTACCTGATTAGCGCCCTTATCTTGGAAGTCTAATTAGTGTCCTAATTAATATGGTGCTTATCAGATACTATAAATATATTGTGTCTTGACACCTAACTATGGTGCAGAGGCCCTAATACTTGGAGCCGATTGCCCTAACAGGGTGCCCTAATGATGGAGCCGATTGCCCTAATGATGGAGCCTAATGCCCTAATAGGTGCCCTAATGATGGAGCCTAACGCCCTAACAAGGTGCCCTAATTCACGTTAGGTGTCAGGCAGGGTATATAAGGAGAGAGAGTCAGTGAGCAGATATACTAGAGATACATTGCTTGTACTGGATTGTAAACTACGTTTGGATATTATTAATACACTTGTTGAAACAAACTTTGTCGTTGTTCTGATGTTAGATCTATAAAGATCTAAAGTTCCAATCTTATACACGGGATCCACAATATTTTGTGACGCGGGTAACAACAAAACACCCCATAGAGAGAAAAACGTTACATTCTGTTATCATCAACACTTATGTCAAGTGCTAAAATATTACCCTCATTATCTTTTTTCTCCCTGTGGAGCTTTAGTTCAAAATTATTATTGAAAAAAATAGCTACCCCTCTAGAGTTTGACAAATATGAATTAAACACACATTTATAGCCCCACTGAGTCTCTACACATGATTCTAAGTCAGTTGTAAAATGGGTATCCTGAAAACAAACTATAGAATAATTTTTTGTTTTATAAAAGTTTAGTACATCTTTTCTCTTTGATTGTGTATTTAACCCTTGACAATTGACTGTTGCTATTTTTATCGAACCCATATCGGTGTAAAAATAATGCTAAGTTCACTACATTCATACTGGCCTTTCACACAAACAATCTCACTGAAAAACATAATACAGGAATGAAAAAGTAAACAAATGAAAGAAAAGAGAAAAAAATAAATGAATAGAAAAAAAAAGAAAAAAAAAACACGTAAAATCTGAAAAATAGACTTTAAATTGACACTAAAGTCAGCCGTGGATCATCCAAACTAGCAGGACTCAAACCGGAAGTTTATGGTGTGACTGTTATTAACAAAGTAAACAATGGCGGAACATTTTTTCCCGAAAAAATCACTTACTAATTTTCTTGATCTTGTCGTCTAGATCATCTGTTATGTCAATTTTCGTTCTTTTTTCGCTTCCCTCGATTTGTGCATAGATGGAACCGTTAAAGTACCATGCAGATTCGATGTCCTCTCGACTTAGAAGTTTACTAATAAGTTCCCCATTTGCTTTTGTCACATCGTCCACCAATTTCAAACCGTTTCCTAGTTTCTTTATATCTGAACGCTTCCTCATGACTCTGGCCTTGGCATCTGAGTTGATCACTTTAACAATAATGGGCCTTGGCTTTCCGTTCTCTCCCGGAATACGATGCGCTGCTATTATTTCGCGATCTTGGAGTTGTACACCTGCGTTCTCCTAAATAAACTCTTTTACAACCATCTGAGTGTTTTCTTTCTCCATCTCCATAACTCCCATGATCTTAAAATTATATTTTCTGGAGTATTGTTCATTTCTGTTGCTCAATCTGAAAGCTTCACCTGCAATTTTTTCGTTCATTTGCACCCTCTGTTTTAATTCTCTGATTTCTTTATTGCTCTCCGCTAATTTCTCGGCTAGTACTTCTGCCCTTGATTCAAGTTTTTCAATATCTCCCGCTGCCTTATCTATTTTCTTTTGAAATTCAACTTTTAATGCCTGGCACTGTTCTTCTACTTCTGCTTTTACACTCTCATCTCTTTCTTTATTATTTTGTTCTATAATTTTTTTCACAATTGTGGTTACAAGCGTCTCCAACTTATCAGCTTTGACAGTTTTTTTAATTTCAGTTTTTAATTCCACGAGATCTTTTGAAATCTGGGTTAGCTGTTTACTTACGTCTGTCAAAGTGCTTTCCTCTTGATTTTCATTGTTTGATTTTTCATTTTTCTCTCCTTTTTTATTCCCTCGGGTAGATACACTAGGGGTCGACATTCTTACCGTGTAGAGTGACCGTGAACAGTTTTCACAACAGGCACTGGTGCGGGTTTTTTAAATGTACACGTTACTTATATGATCTTCAATACCAAGTCCCAATCACAATCGCATTCACATTCACTTACAATTCACAATATTATTTGCATGGATATATCACTGAGAAGGTATCACATAATTTCCACATCCAGGAACGGTTTAGAATTAGTATTAATTAAGAGTCCAGCATGTTTTCGACCACTCGCTAAACAGCACGTCTTGCCTGGCCGAGCGCCATTTTTAAAGTCCCTGTCTGTCTACCTGTCCACCTGTAGACAAATCACATTTTCGACTTCTTCTCTAGAACCACCGGGCTAATTTCAACCAAACTTGCCAAAAAGTGTACTTGTGTAAAGGAAATTCAAGTTTGTTCAAATGAAGTACCATGCCCTCTTTCAAGGAGAGATAACTAAGAAATTGTAAATATTTTTTGGTATGTTCTGTTCAAGAACCTTATATGAAACTTTTTTACACGGTGTAAGTTCAGAGTCCAAATCATGATCCTCAGGGGTAGGGTTTGACCAAAATGGATCATCAAAGTTGGGAGGGCTGGAAATTGGGTCCTAAACTCGGCATTATAGGTCCGTAAAGCAGTGGGGGATATTTTTCGTGTTAGATCCTACTGCGACAAGGGCTCTTTTTAAATTCAGAATCGTCCGAATACTGGTCTCCGTGTATTGTAAATATAGAACCAAATTTCTCTATTGATATTAGTTTGAAATGTCGACAGTATATATCACAGTGAAATTGAAACTAAAGATACAATAGATTCTGACACATTTATTTCTTTTGTTTCTTGTTTGGATGATCTCGACAACGATTTATGATAAACTACATGTAGATGACTTTATTTTCTCCATCAGCAACTACCCTTGCATATAGAGCAATATACCCTCATCACCTACATGCGGGGTTTAAATTTTTCAATTGATTCGATACGCAAAAGTACGCTCTTCATATGAACAATTTCTTAAAGACAAAAACGTTGATGTAAAAAGAATATTAACAGTTCCATTTGAAGTCAACATTTCATAAGTTATATGGTCAGTACAATGACATTGTCAGCAAAACTACAATATATTATTAAGTCAAATGCTGACTGACGTTTATTATACTAATTGTTAGGTCATTGTTTATACACTGAATTGTCCACTGATTTCCCATTATTTCCCGATCATGGCAAGAAGCACACAGTGGATGTGATAGGTCGGCAGGGTATGCTCACTCCTCCATGGCACCTGATCCCATCTCTAGTGTTTTAGAGGTCCGTGTTTGCTCTGCTCTTGATGTGTATTGGTTAAATAAACTGAGAGCTTGAATACCGTTTGCTAACTCCATATACGAGTATTCCATGTTTTAGAAATATTCTTTTTAAAAAATTCTAATTTTTTTTTACTCTGTGCACAAAAATTTTTTATCTAGTGTTTTTAATAGTTATATCAAATTGCACTAAGATCAAAAATAAAAATCGCTGACGTTATGAAAAGATTGTTTAATTTGTATTCATTTTAAGCATTCTTGACATTTTAAAAAGGCAAAAGTCTATTAATCATGTTATTTATGAATTAACCGGTTTTCGTTTATGGATACTTCAATGTCATTTGATATTTTTTCACATGGCTAAATGACTGGTACCAGTATCGAAAATGATAAAAATAAAAAAAATATATATATATGTCTTTATATTACATAATTTAACAATAGAAATTACCAAAAACATTTTATGAGTGTATAGAGGTTTTTTAACTCGCCTTGGGATGAAACTGAAACATTTTTTTTTCCTAGAATATGGGTATAGGAATGATATGTATGTCTCTTGTCTCACTTTATATTCGTCTTCAGCATTAGGAAGAAACATTTCTTTTACAGTGGACCCCCCTACCACCCCGCGTCCGGGCAAATGTCCACCTGATAGCTCCAAATTTCAGAGACATTGTTACTTTGTGGAACCTAATGGAAATAAAACAAGACCCGAAGCCAAGGCCGCGTGTATTGCTCGAAACATGACTCTAGTGACGTTTAGAAATCTACAGGAGGTGGAACATGTTCGTCAGCTTTCGAAATTTAAAGGTGGCAATAACAAAACCCGCTTGTGGATAGGATTATATAAGAGCAAACCCGGAGCAGGGGACGATCTTGACGATTATGGGGAATACGATTTCACAATGCTAACTATTCTTTTTACAGGTGGGTCAAATGTACAATATTACTGCGATTTTTATGAACTGATTAAGGGAAAGATAAGATTTACTAGTAGTTTAAAGTCAGCGTTTATTCATCACGAGGGCATATACCGGTATTGTATAGAATAGTATAAATAAAATTGTAAGCTTACCACACACTGCATGTCTAATTAAGTGTTGCACCCTGGCATCAAAGTAAGACTTACAATGTAAATATACTATACTCATCAAGTAGGGTTCTTTAGAACCGCACACTAAACATGCTGATTGTTAGTAAAAACTGTTTAGGACAGCACGTAGAGCACAATGAAAGTTTAAATGTAACATATTTTCATTATATTGCAAATATGAGCATGTAGAGTTTATTGGGAAGATGATCTTGTTTCTTTTTCGTAGATTTTGTGTAAGAAGATGACCTCATTTTTCCTTGTAGCGTTTGTATTGGAAGATGAATTCATTTCTTCCTTTTATAGAAATCCTGTTGGAAGAAAACCTTATTTCTTTTTGAAATTCTGTGGAATATGAATCTTCCATGTGGAGATATGAACTTGTTTCTCTCTTTGTAGCGTTTTGGTGGGACGATGACCATGAGAATTTCTTTGACAACTGGAACAATGGGGAACCATCTGGTGCACATGGATCTAAATCTGAATTATGTGTAGAGATGTTAGATACAGGAAAGTTCAACGATATCAACTGTGATAATTATTACAGGGGGTATGCTTGTTATGGTCCTGAAGGTAAGTACGAAGTAATATTAGCTGACATAGCAATAGAGTAAAAACAGTAATAAACATATGCGACAAATTCGTTCTCAGTGTAAAGTTTTGAAAAATTAAATCTTTACAGAACATTGAAAGTTCAGTTTATTTTTATTAGAATACACGATTCTGTAAAAAAAAAAGGGGGGGGGGGTTTAGATTCAGAAAAATAATGTAGTTTTCTACGTTCGAGAAATTGGAATCCTTCCTTATTTACGTCAACAGTATGACCCAGTATTATCCCGTATTTGTCAGTAGAAACTATGTAACTAATATTACTCCCACGTCTGTTGATTTTTACGTGAAATTCTGGCTTACGATTGGTTGAAGTCTGACACATGAAGGAGGTGGATTACTTATACCCAATCAGCTGTTTAAGCAATGAATCATTATTTTTTAAAGATGTAGTCTCATAATTGTAACAGTGTGTGGAAACAAATTGAGTAACGCGTGTTACATTTTTAGCTCACCTGAGCCAAAGGCTCAAGTGAGCTTTTCTGATCAAAATTTGTCCGTCGTCTGTCGTTGTCGTTGTCGTCGTCGTCGTTGTCGGCGTTGTCGTTGTCGTTGTAAACTTTTCACATTTTCAACGTCTTCTCAAGAACCACTGGGCCAATTTCAACCAAACTTGCTACAAAGTATCCTTGGGTAAAGGGGATTCAGGTTTGTTCAAATGAAGGGCCACACCCTTTTCCAAGGGGAGCTAATTATGAATTAGAAAAAAGTTAATGACATTTTTAAAAAATCTTCTTCTCAAGAACCACTGGGCCAGGAAAGATGAAACTCATGTGGAATCATCCTCAGGTAGTGTAGATTCAATTTTGTTCAAATTATGAGCCCCGGGGGTAGGGTGGGGCCAAAATGGCCGATCAAAGTTTTACATAGGAATATATAGGAAAACTCTAAAAATCTTCTTCTCAAGAACCACTAGGCCAGGAAAGATGAAACTCATGTGGAATCATTCTCAGGTAGTGTAGATTCCAGTTTGTTCAAATCATGACCCCCGGGGTTAGGGTGGGGCCAAAATGGCCGATCAAAGTTTTACAAAGGAGTACAAAGGAAAAATCTTTAAAAATCTTCTTCTCAAGACCCGCTGGGCCTGGAAAGTTGAAACTCATGTGGAATCATCCTCAGGTAGTGTAGATTCCAGTTTGTTCAAATCATGACCCCCGGGGGTAGGGCGGGGCCAAAATGGCCGATCAAAGTTTTACATAGGAATATATAGGAAAAATCTTTAAAAAATCTTCTTCTCAAGAACCACTGGGCCAGGAAAGATGAAACTCATGTGGAATCATCTTCAGGTAGTGTAGATTCAAGTTTGTTAAAATAATGACCCCCAGGGGTAGGGTGGGGCCAAAATGGCCGATCAAAATTTTACATAGGAATATATAGGAAAAATCTTTAAAAATCTTCTTCTCAAGAACCACTGGACCAGGAAAAGATGAAACTCATGTGGAATCATCTTCAGGTAGTGTAGATTCAAGTTTGTTAAAATAATGACCCCCAGGGGTAGGGTGGGGCCACAATGGCAGATCAAAGTTTTACATAGGAATACATAGGAAAAATCTTCTCATTGAGACATGAAAGATGAAACTCCTGTGGAATCATCCTCATGTTGTGTAGATTCAAGTTTTTTTTCAAATCAGGACCCACGGGGGTAAGGTGGGGCCTAATGGCCGATCAAAGTTTCAAAGTTTCAAAGGCGACTACAGCCCTTGAAGCAAAGCGTATCGGCGACACCGTTACAACAAATTCCGCCTGGGAAACCGAAAAGTCAGAGGTCATGACAAATATCATTGATGCTAAATTCAGCCAAGTTGATCCATTTCGTGAGAAAATTACAAAGTGTGGAACAAAATGTGTCATTGTCGAAGCGACCTATGACGATTTCTGGGGAAGTGGACTGGATGAACATGCTACACTGAATACCAAACCCAAAGCGTGGCCTGGCTTAAACAAGCTGGGTCAGGTTATCATGTCTGTGGCTCAGAAGCACCGCCCGAAAAATCGCCTTAACCGCAGTTTTTCAGTCCCTAGACAACCCGCACGAAAAGCTCCGAAAAATGTACAACAAGAGATAACCTCTTTCGTCAGTCAACTAAAAGACGGTCCAACCAAACGCTCACGCGATAGCCTCCATGCAGAGGATGACAGCCAGCATCCGGACAGCGAATAAGGTACCTCTATGAACTAAGAATAATGAACGATCTATTGAAAATTTTTTCCCTTAATGTAAGGGGTTTAAATGATTATAATAAATGTACAATTTTATATGACTGGCTACAAGATCTAGATATTGATATTGTTCTCCTTCAAGAAACCCATTATATTGAATCAAAAGAATTTGTTTATAATGCTAGATGGTTAGGAAACAGCTATCATTGTTTTTCGAGTTCATCCTCTAGTAGAGGTGTTTCTATTCTGATTAGAAATGGTTTTCAATTTGAATTTATTAATTGTCATAAATCATCTGATGGTCGAAAAATTTTACTTAATATTAAAATTAAGGATGAATCATACTGTATAGTAAACCTTTATGCTCCTAACAAGGTGCTTGATAGAAAAGATTTTTTTATCACAACTAAATCATGGGTACGAAAATATGTTATAAATAAAGATAATTTATTTATAGGCGGAGATTTAAACTGTAAACTTGATGAAAAAAATCATTCTTTTGACACAAGTACACATCAATTTTGTTCCTTAATTAAACAACTTCACTTGATTGATACATGGAGATATTTAAATGAAAACAAATCTGGATTTACTTGGTGCAATGCACAACATATGACCAATCAGCTTATATAAAAGGGAGATATATTGGATGTAACGCCAGATTAATTCAGGATATTTTTGATTATTGTGAAGATCAAAATGAAAACGGAATCCTACTTTTCTTAGACTTTGAAAAAGCTTTCGATACTATTGAATGATCTTTTATGTTTGAAACATTAAAAGCTCTAAATTTTGGACCAAATTTTATGAAATGGATAGAAATGTTATATAGAAACCCTAAATTTAGAGTAAAAAATAATGGATTTATTTCTAAAACATGTAATATGACTAGAGGCATACGACAAGGCTGCCCAGTATCTGCTTTACTTTTTATTATAACAGTTGAAATATTAGCTAGACGCATAAACTCTTCGGAGGAAATACACGGCTTCAAAATTGAAAATAATAATGAAATTAAGATGCTACAACATGCAGACGACTCTACAAATCCTCTTAGAGATATAAAATCTGTAAAACATGTAATTAAAGTGGTACAAAACTTTTCGAAAGTTGCAGGACCAAATCTTAACATCAATAAATCAGAATGTTTATTACTACATGTTACTAGGACCACTGAGAAATTTGTACAATAGTATAGAAGGGATAAAAGTGACTAACGATCCAGTGAAAACATTAGGGATATTTGTAGGACACAACAAAAAATTATGTTTGGAAAAAAATTGGCAAGATAAAATAGATAAAATAGCACAGATTTTAGAATCTTGGGAAAAGAGAAAATTAACAATCTTTGGAAAAAAAGAAATAATTAATACATTGTGCATTTCAAAATTGCAATATAATGCAACCATTCTTCCCAATCCACCCGTAGAAATTATCAAACAAATAAATAAATTAATCTTTAACTTCGTATGGAATAGTAAAGACCGTATAAAAAGAAATACTCTTATTGGGGATGAAAAACAAGGAGGCATTAACATTATAGACATTGAATCTAAACTCAAAGCATCCAAGGCGTCCTGGATTCCAAGGTTACTAAATACAAATTCTAGTCTTGTATCATTCTTAAACTATCATTTTAATAGGGAAACATTGTCATTAGAATACATTTAAAAACTAATTTAACAAATGTAGATGATTACAAAGAGCTAAAAAACATTCCCATCTTTTACAAAGAATCAATCTGTGCATTCAATGAATGTAAAATGATTAAAGATTTTCCAAAGCTATCTACGGATGAATTTTTATCTTTACCAATATGGAAAAACAAACTTTTTACATATAAAAACAAACCAATTTATCTTGAAAATTGGATTAAATCAGGAATTTTGTACATAAGAGACCTCTATGGCGCAGATGGGATATTCCATGATATTAGGTACTTCTATGATAAAATTTTATACAAAAATAATATCTTGTGTGAATACCTCATTATGAAGACTATTTTTAATAAATTTCCAAAAACATATGAGTGTGAAAAGGCACAGTATATTAATATAAGACGCAGTACTACTGTACTATTAAAAGGAAACAGGTATACACAAATAAATAAAATAAAATCATCTGTTTTTTATAAAATATTCATCGAAAAGAAATTTTTGAGACCAATAACGGAAAATTATTGGAGTGAATTGTTTGATACTCCTAGGTATCTATGGGCTTCCATTTATCATATAAAAATCTCGAAAATGTCTGATAAGCATATAGCAGAATTTAATTATAAATTATTCCATAAATTATTAAATAATAACCTGAGTGTGAGCAAGTGGAATCCAAATGTACAAAAATTTTGTGCTAACTGTGGAGAAGTAGAAAATATTATACATCTTTTATTTAACTGTAATGACTCAAATTTTATATGGCACAAAATAAGTACAATTTTAGGTTTCAAAATAAGTTGGAAGCATATTGTAATAGGTTTTTATGAAAACACAGATTTAACCAACGGTATGAATACATTGATATCTTACATTGCGTTAAAAATTTTCAAATATAAGATGAAGTGTAGATTGACAGATACAACTTGTAACAAAGATTCCCTGTTTAATTTTGTTAAATCATCTTTAAATACATATCAGTCTATTGCAGAATTTTCATATGAAAATGTACAGATTCACAAATTGCTAAAAAAAATTTGTCTTAATTTGTAAATGTAAATATATGTTACCAGCAGGTCCACAAAACCAGTTGTGGAGTCTGTGTGTTAGCATGAGGGCATTATGGACTCTTGAAAGTGTGGAAGGTGGCCTATCATGCTAACATAGGAACATACTATATTCTTTATAATTCCATTAAACAAGTATTTACACATTTGCTTCTCATATGTTATCTATTATTATCATGATTATAAGTATAATTATCATTTTTAATAATTGTCTCAAATCGATTATAGTTTTTCTTCTTTCTTTATTCTATGTGAAAAGAAACAGTTTTTTCTGTGTATGTATTATATATAGCTTTTCTTTTTTCTTTATTCTATGTGAAAAGATCATCAAAATTTTAATGTCAATACTTTTCTTTTTCCTTTATTCTATGTGAAAAGAATCATCAAATGTCAATGTGTAATGTAGTATATCTGTGTTTTATTTATATCATTGTTTGTTATCAATAAAAGAGAAAAAAAAAAAAAAAAAAGTTTTACATAGGAATATATAGGGAAACCTTTTAAAATCTTCTTTTCAAGTACTTCAAAGCCAGGCTTAGTGATATTTACAGGGAATCATCCTCAGGTAGTGTAGATTCTAGTTTGTTCAAATCATGACCCCTGGGGGTTAAAATTCAAGCCCCCCCCCCCCCTCAGTTAACTTTCAGTTTTGATCTCATATGTACTTTTTCCTAGCCAATTGCTCAGGTGAGCGATGTGGCCCCTGGGCCTCTTGTTTAACTCTCTACCGTGATTGCAAAATAATTTGATTTGATTTATATTTTAAAAACTACGTATTATCCTTCGTGTAAGCTACAGTTTTCGCTAATGACGTTGCAGTTCCTCGGCGTTCAACGATTGTGACTTCAAACTAAAATGTATGCTTCAACCTTTTGGCACCCTGTCTGTGTAATGGTCTTTTGAATGCAATAGATTTTCATTCACTTTGTATGCTAATATTTACATTACATATGTTTATTGCATTTAAAGTGAATGGAAATTCATTGCATTCAAAACACCATAACACGGACAGGGTGCCAAGAAGATATAGCATGCGTTTTAGTTTGACGTCAACGCGCTAACGCGAGTAACTCAATTTGTTTGAACACACCGTTGCAGTTATGAGACTATATGTTTCAAATAATAATGATTCCTTGCTTCAAAAACATATGGAATGTAAATAAAAATCAATATCCGGTCGATGTATAACGTAACTATATAACACAACATGACGCCATTATATGCACATTATAAGCGTGATGAAGCATGTAGCAGAGAAAAACATTAATAAATCACAGATACCGTAATACGTAATTGTTCATCAATGGGGTTAATTCGTTACATATCCTTTTAGTGACAGGGTACGGGATGTACCATGTCACTAAAAGACTATGCTACTAATAAAACCTGGTTAGTAATTTTCATACCTGACTCGGCTCCGCCTCGTCAGGTATGAAATTTACTTGACCAGGTGTCATTCCATACCCGGTCACTAAAAAACCATGTAATGAATTTACCCCACCGATGAAACATTTACGTATTATCTGTGGTTTGTATATGTTTTTCTCAGCTACATATGATTCATCACTCTTATACCACCATGCATAATTCCACATATGGGGGTGCGGAATGGTGCCATCCGGGGGTGCGGAATTCGAAGCGGATTTTGCAATGTGATTGAGATGAAAATAACCCTAAATTCAAGAATGATATACAATGACTAAAAAGTATTCCTTCCCCCAGCCTCCACTAAAATCTCTACCTCCGAGTGCCACACACTTAAATTGAAGTCTGTCTTCTTTATTTGAGGTGGAATTCTCTGAATTATTAGAGTGTCTGCAGCAAAATCATATTTAGAATTCCCTCACATAAGTTAAATGAAACTGAGTGATATATAGGCACCAATTTTCACGAAGAAACGGTCAAATTTGCGTTCCCACATGCTCTTGTCAGATATTGCAGAAGTGTTCATGTATTTTTAGGACGAGTCCCGAGCTGGGAAACGAGTAACAGTAAGCTGGGATATCACAATGTTCCGCCGTAAGTTAATTTAGGATTACTAGTAGTTTCATCTCAATCACTATAGGAAAGCCAATCAGGTCAACGAACATTGCAAATTCCGCTTCGAATTCCGCACCCCCGGATGTTACCATTTCGTGCCCCCATTTGTGGGGTTATGCATGGTGTGTACTGTGCTTATATATTATGACGCCATGTTGTGTTAGTTACGTAGTACGTCGACCTTGTATTGATTTACAACTGACTGGGTATAAGTATTCCACCTGCGGTAAATTGTAATTTTGTTGTAATTGGTTAATCATTTCAGTTTAAATAATATAAAGTACATGTAGGTACTTTGTAAAACATCGTAGTGAATAAATATCAGCATTATGGAAGAAAGGCCTGGACAAGTTACATGTTGATGGTGTTATGTGCAACGGATACCACCTATTTATTTATAATGTGTATGAGTATATGTTAAAATTGCAGAGTTTGAAACAACTGTATCCATGGCAAAATTCTCTACTGCCTCGACATCTCCACTATATACAACTCAATCACAACGCAGTTTGTCGGGTAAATCGTCTTATGACGTCACAAAGTTGACACCAGAGCCATCTACTTCCAATTTCTCTTCTAACACAGCCATCACGTCTACAGATCAGCCAGTACAATCACCAAGTAAACATAGTAAAACAGCCTACCTATCAGACAGAAAAAAAAATTAGGTAAGAATCACACAATTATAGATGTTCTATTTATCTCATACAACTTTCGTTTTAACATAACTTTGAGACTTCCCCTGTGAAACTATATCAATGATTTCTAATTCAAATTGATGTCGTATATCTTGATGATGTAGCACTGTTGGTGTTGACATGCCTCGAAAGAAAGTATATCGTGTTCAAAATGTAATATTTACATTCAGTGTGATTTTCCTTATGAAATTCATTAGAAATCCACGACGTTCAAATTACTATAACACACGCGAAACCTTGTCACCGTGCGTTAGAATACATAGTAGGAACTATATGCAATTTCAATACTCTAGGAACACCAAAATGTAAAATATTTTACTTCAATTTAATGAAAAACTATAACCCTGAAAAATTAACGTAAAAATTAACGTAACGTGCGTTAAGAATTAATTTGTCACTTAATTTTTTTTGGTATCTGCGTCTTTGAAAACATTATGTGACAATTTCTGGATTTTTAAATCAAGCGTGAAAAATTAACTCTTTGTATGGTGGCAGTATAAAGCGTGCTAGGCAAGGCTAGATTCATTGTTGATCCATGGTAAATTACGCCTATATTACTAGGTAGGCATCTTACTACAGGCATACGTAATATAATTAACGAAAGCGTTGTTAAACTGTAAAAGGAATCAAGCAGCCAATACAGGTACATGTACCTTGATCAGATAAAATAAGACACTTCTTTGAAAAAATACGAGTTTTTCTTGCTTTTAACGACATTATTGCTCTTTATCATTCATTTTATAAGGGCAAGAATTTTCACAAATAAAAGTTTCAATAAAATAAAATCTTGAAGCGAGGGATCGTGTCAAAACCGGAAGTGCTATTGATGAGCATATACCCGTGGATAAAGCATAGGTTTATCCCACGGGTAGTATCATTCACACGTATGAGATAAATAGAGAATATCTATATTGTGTGATTTGATATTTGCTTTATCCAACGAGTTAAAATGGTGTACATATTCGCGACTTTCGTTTTATCAAAATTTTGAGACTACCTGTGCAAAACTACATGAATGATTGCTAATTCAAATTGATGACTTATAACTTGATGACGTAGCACGGTTGATGTTGACATGCCTCGAAAGAAAGTAGATCGTGTTCAAAATTTAGAATTTTTGCTATTTGCGTCTTTTAAAACATTATGTGACAATATTGCTGGAGCTTTACCAATTATTCAATATATAATTCAAGCAAACTTCTGATTGAAAGTTGTAAGGCCCAAGGGATCGTGAAAATTAACTCTTTGTACGGTGGCAGTACAAAACGTGCTAAGCAAGGCTAGCTAATTGTAGATTCATTGTTTATCTATGGTAAGTTACACCTACATTACTAGGTAGGCACACATAGTATAATGTAAGAAATCATTGTTAAAGAGGTTAAAGGAATCTTGTAACAACAACTTAACTGCTAGGCTTTACTTTCTCCGAAAACGGTCTAAAGGAAGGGAGTGTAATAATCGTCTTCAAGTAGCCAATACAGGTACCTTGATAAAATAAGATACTTCTTTGACATACACATTAAGTCTTTTTTCTGCTTTTAACGACATTATTGCTCTTAAATTATCATTCATTTAATACAGGCAAGAAGTTTTACAAAAAAAGTTTCAATAAAATAAAATCTCGAAGCGAGGGATTGTATCACAACCGGAAGTGCTATTGATGAGCATCTACCCGTAGATAAAGCATAGGGTTATCCAACGGTCTGTATCATCCACACGTATGGGATAAAAAAAAAACATCTAAATTTATATAGATTGAAAATAATTGGTCAGGAATCATTTTTCAATTTTCAGTCGAAGCAATTGTTTCTTCATATTGATTTGAAATTAAAATTCTTGAGAGCGGTATTTGGATTAAAGTATGCCGGGAAGGTGATGAAATTTTACATCTTAATATATATATATATATATATATATATATATATATATATATATATATATATATATATATATATATATATATATATATATATATAAGTAGTATAAAGCGCCTAGATGGCTGGGTCAACTGAGTGCACTTTTGGGGCTGAGGGGGGATAGCTGGGTCAACTGAGTGCACTTTTAGGGTTGGGGGATAACTGGGTCAAGGGAGTGCAGCCCCTGGAGGGGGATAGCTGGGTCAAGGGAGTGCAGCCCCTGTGGGGGATAACTGGGTCAATTCAGTACATATAATCCCCCTAAATACGGGGGGTCTGTTTACACTGTGTTTACATTATACACTATACGCTGCTACTACTATGATTTTGTCAGCGACTTTTATACCTGTTG